ATAGGATTAATATCTAAAACACAGAACTTATTCCTAAAGATAAATTATAACTAGACAACCAATTTCAAAGAAAAATTGTCCAAAATCTTGAACAGACATTTTACAGAAGAGAAGGCACAAATGGCTAAAATACTTGCAAAGATGCTCAAAGTCATTAGTAAGTAGAAAATACAAATAAAAACCACAATAATCATGTCATAAACACCAGACTGGCAAACATTTCAAAATCTGACAACATCAAAGTGCTGACAAAGACATAAAACAATAGCACTCTCAGATACTGCTGGAGGTAGTGAAAATTGGTACAGCTGCTTTGGAAAACAATTTGGCATTATATAGCAAAGCTGAAGGTATGCATGTCATATGACTAACAATTTCACTCCTAGATACATGCCAGAGAAACTTTAGCAAAGATGCAGTGGGGACTGTGTACAATAATATTTGTAATAATACTTTTATCATGGAAGCCACCCAAAGTCTATCAACACTGCTATGGACTAACAGCTTAAGGCACATCATACCATGGGACACTATAGCATTGAAAATGTACGAACAACATCTGTATGCATCAACAGAGATGGTCTCAGGAGCATAATGGTGAATTTAAAAAAAACAAATTTCAGGAGAATGCATACATCATAAGTCCATTTTTAAGTGATTTGTTTTCATAAGTGAAATTTCATAAATGATTTGTTTTTAGAGATAGAAATGTATGTGGAAAAACTATAAAGAACAAGATAATTATAAAAATTTGTAGTAGTGGTTACCTCTGTTCAGGACACAAAAGAGATGTGATCAGGACAAGGTACATAGGTCTTTAAAGGAAATTCTGACGGCCTATTTATTTTCTCATGTAAAAAAGCAAAAAATATTTTTTAAAAATAGAGACAAAGTCTTGCTATGCTGCCCAGGCTGGTCTCAAACTCCTTGCCTTAAGAAATTCTCCCACCTTGGTCTCCCAAAGTGTTAAAAGCCTATTTCTTAAAAGGTAAAGCAGGCACACATTCATTGTATTGTTGTTCTTTAAATGTATATATTTAAAAAATACTCTTTTGTGAATAGTCAATACTAATAAAAATAACTTTTAAGAGCTGGTGAAGAAGCAAATGGTTGAAAATATTTTCTTCAGTACTTGCTGGAAGAAGAAAAGAGAATATAACAACCTACCAGCCATTAGGGTCAGTCTTTCCCTTAAAAAATGCCACAGTTGTCTACTTGTCTTTTGGCTCCTCTTGGCTCAGTCACTCCAAAACCAATGATCACTCAGAGCTACCAGCTGCCCAGTGTTGGAGGAGAGTTTCATGATATTCATCTGAAGTGGCAGCCAAGCTTTCCTCTCCGTCTGTCATTCTACTCCTCATTAAAATTCAGGCCTCCTCCAGGTGTGAATGACAGGCACTTTACCCTGTTCACACATGTGCACACACACACATACCATCGCTGCAGTTCCATTGAGTTATTATTATATCCAAATATTATTAAAATCATTATTACCTGACTTTTGACTTTGACTTATTTTTTAATATTTGTACACATGTATTAATAATAATGGAGCACTGTGTTTTAAACAAATTATTTTCCTGTCCTCCAGTCAGAACCTGAAATCTTAAAAAGCTTCTCAAAACAAAGACACCCGTCTCTTCCTCTGACTACAACCTAGTAGCAACAACCCTTTAAACCAAAAGTAAAATTTAACATGGTGCAGCTGTTGTCAGGATATCACTTTAAAAAGAAAAGAAAAGTAAACCTAGTGGCAGTGAAATCTTGCTCCTCACTTGGATTATTAAAGATAAGAAAACACCTATGTAGCTAACATCACATTGATACCCAAGCCAGGTAAAGACCCAACAAAGAAAGAGAACTACAGGCCAATATCTTTGATGAACATAAATGCCAAAACTCTCAACAAGATCCTAACAAACCGGATTCAACAACACATCTCAAAAATCGTCCATCATGACCAAGCAGGCTTCATCCCTGGGATGCAAGGTTGGTTCAACATTCGCAAGACAATAAATGTAATTAAATACATCAACAGACGTCAGAACAAATTATATCATTAGATGCAGAAAAAGCTTTTGATAAAATCCAGCACCCCTTCTTGATAAAAACCCTCAAATATTAGGCATACATGGAACATACCTCAAAATAGTAAAAAGTCATCTACGAGAAACCCACAGCTAACATACTCCTAAACAGACAAAAGTTGGAACCATTTTCCCTGAAAACTGGAACAAGACAAGGATGCCCACTCTCTCCCCTCCTGTTCAATATAGTATTGGAAGTCCTGGCTAGAGAATCAGAAAAAAAGAAGGCGATCAGGGGTATCCAAATAGGAAAAGAGGAAGTCAAGTTATCTCTCTTTGCAGACGATATGATCGTGTGCCTTGAAAACCCAAGAGAATCTATCAAAAGCCTCCTTGCACTGATAAAGGACTTTGGCAAAGTCTCAGGGTATAAAGTAAATGTGCAAAAGACAATCGCATTTCTTTATACCAATAATAAACAAACAGAAACCCAAATAAAACCACAATCCCATTCACAATAGCCACAAAAAAATGAAATACCTTGGCATCTTCCTAACCAGAGATGTGAAAGACATTTACAATGAAAACTACAAAGCACTGCTCAAAGAAATCAAAGATGACACAAACAAGTGGAAAAATATCCCATGCTCATGGATTGGTAGAATCAACATTGTGAAGATGTCCATCTTACCTAAGGCAATCTACAGATTGAATGCAATACCCATCAAATTACCAGCAACATTCTTCTCAGAGCCAGAAAAAACAATAAAGGAATTCATATGGAAACACAAATGACTAAGAATAGTCAGAACAATCCTCAGCAAAAAAAAAAAAAACAAAGCAGAAGGTATCACATTACCAGACTTCAAACTTTACTATAAAGCTACAATAATCAAAACAGCTTGGTATTGGTGCAGGAACAGGCATACCAATGGTATAGAATTGAGAATCCAGAAGCAAAACCTCAGTTTCTCAACCAACTCATTTTCGACAAAGCCTCCACCACCTACCACTGGGGAGAGGAGAACCTTTTCAGTAAATGGTGCTGGGAAAACTGACTGAGCACATGCAGAAAATTCAAACAAGGCCCCTATCTATCCCTATACACAAAAATTAACTCTAAATGGATCAGAGACCTAAATGTAAAACCTCAAACCATAAGAACCT